TGGCAATCTGACTAAATATTAATATTATAAATAAAAAATTTATGTTTTTATGAATAAAATAAAAAAAAATTTATTTAAATTCACTTATTAATTTTTTTAAAAATTAAAAAATTAAAATAGGTCATTAAATTTAAAAGTTGTGATAAATTTTTTTCTGTCCAATACTTTTGACCGGGAAGTGTACAAACCGGGATCGAGCTTTAATCTAGTTTTTTTTATTAAAAAAAAATTATTCCCAATTAAGTTATCTATTATAAGATAATGAATTCACCTTTTTTAGTCGATTGCATGTGTATTAATAAATCTATCAAAAATAGAATGATTAATTATTTGTATAGTATTTGTTATATTTTACAATTTAGAAATTACTTACATCGTTAGTTAAATGCTGCATTCAAATTAAATTGTATATGCATTATTTAAATGGGATTTTAACAAAAGATAGTTCCATAATAATATAAATAAATATAATACTTTCATTAAATTCATTAAATTTAATTTTAAGCTACCGCTCGATTGTAGAGATCATGCAAATACTTTAATATAGTGAATAGCCTTGGCTATAATTTTATAATAAATAATACAATTCATAATGCGCGTACTTAAAAATAACAGAATTTTCATTATTGAAAAAAAAATTTCCATCGAAAGTTTCGGGTTACACGAAAATTTTATTAAATTTTGAGTATATTGAAAATTGTTCAATTTATTAACTTTTCATCCTTTACTTTAGCATAAATCTTTTTTTATACGATCGAAAGTTCGAAATGTGAAATATTCGATAAAAGGATATTGTGGCGCAGTCATACATAGTACGTAACAATCAAATTTTTTTTCGAAGCGCAATGCTCATAATGCAAATTCAATTTAAAAAACCAAATTCCCAAATATACTTGTACTAAAGTTTAATTTATTAACAATAACGATAAAAATTTTAAATACATATATTTCTTAAAACTAAAATTAACCTTAATATTGAGAGTTGAATTCAAAATAATACATAAGTAACAAAAAATTAGAAATCTTAAACAAAAATAAAAAGTAGCATCTACTTAAACTTATTGCACAATTTTGTCTAAGATGTATCTATTCATACTGTATAATGTAACGTCACAATCTGAAAATTCATCTTCACTTTCTAATTCATCTAATTTTTCGCTTTCTTTATCATTAGAATCAGAATCATAATGACTTTCAGGATCAATACTATTAAGTTCTGAAATTACTTGATCAATATCTTGTCTCTCGTTTGGATCATGCTTCTAACATTCTATTTAAATAAGTTAATTAATGATTAGATTTTAGATTGTAATAAAAAGTATAATATTATAACAAAATAAATATTGTGCTTACTTTGATAAAGTTTTACAGATGTACGATTCGTTGTTTGAATAAGCTTTCTCTCACACCTTTAAGAAATTCGATCTGAATAAAAGGTTCGCCTGTTGTTTCAGAATTGAGAGGTGATGCACAACTTGCCAATTCCCAGAACAGCACTCCTAAGTTATAAATATCAGATTTTTTAGAAGGTTCAGAATAATCTTGTTTCTGATGCTATTGTAAAAACAAATTAAAAGAATTATAGTTTTGGAACTAAATTTAATGTAATATGCATCCTTACAATCAATTTATTCTGTCTCAAAGTTCCTTTTTACCTTACAAATTTTGATATCTCTATAAATTCACCAAGCAGCCATTATTACGTTGTGTTTGCTGACACCACTTTGTTTTAAACCTGATCTCGTGTGATTAGGTAGGATGCTTCTTCTGCTAAACTGGAGATGGATATTATTTCAGAGTAAAATAATAAAAACAATTCTTCCTATTGAGCAAAGTTCCATCCCAAATAAAATTATTAATAAGTTTTTAGGATAAGACGAATTGATAAACTATTCCTGAGCACCAAGTGTATGAGAACCTATGAAGAAAAGAAAAAGAAGATTTTTTTTTAATACCATTGTGTATATACTCAGAACAATTGGAATGAAATTTCATCTGAAAACAAAGTCTTATTTCTAATAATTGAAATAATTTCTTACCCTTACGATTTAGTTTAAAATATACAGAAAAAAAATCTGTTTAAGATATATGATAAATATCATAGTTTTAGATTGGGTTAAGCAAGTATATGTTATGTAACAACCACGAATCCTGAGGGTTCACCCCTTCCTTTGTAGCCTCGAATATAGTGACAATGTCGTGACAGAAACAGTCAGAATAAGGTAAAACTCATCCTTCCTATTTATAATAAATAAAACTGTAACGCTCACCATTACTTTCATTATATTACGACCTATTTTTTTTTTGAGAAAATTTTGTAAATTTTTAAGCATAATGGACACAAATATCGTATTTGATTAAGGAGACGCACGTTGCTTTTTGATTATAGAAGTTGTTTGATAATAATAAAATAATAAGTCATAATGATATAATTAGATATTTTATAAATGATGTTTCACAATGACTCAAATTTTATAATCATAGATCAGTTAATATTAATAAGCTTCGGTCTTACATAACGCGTTCTCATAATAATAAGAGTTTATTCAGATTTTAGACGCGCTCGTGTAGCTTAATAAAAGTTAATTTTAAATCACATATAAACCTCAACCTCTTTCAAACATTATTTTCAATTTTACAAACTAATAAGTCTACAATAACTATGTCAACTATTTTCGAAGTTATCGATAGCCTTTCTCTTCCAAAAAAAGAAACGAATAAACTACAAATTTATCTCATTAAACATAACCAGGAGAGAGATATATTGCATTCTGCACTTATGAGTCCCTTAAAAACAGACGAAGATAAACTTGAGTTATTAAAAGAATTCTTAAAGACTCTGTCTGCTGGTATGTGCTTAAATAAAATTATTGTGTGAATTGTGATGACTAACTATGTCTTTTTGGTCTTTTTGGTCTCCTAACCCAATTTAGATGAACATCAGGAACATGACTCCAGAAAAATTACATTATTTGCGAGAACCGCCATTGATTTAGACTTGAACAAGGAAGTGATTATCCTTCCGCCACTTCCAGGAACAGAAAGCGAAACACATATATATAAGCACCGTTGTTATGACTATTTCAAGGAAATCATTCTCGAGAGCAAGAAACATAAGCGTTTCTGCATCACCGGGAATCCAGGAACAGGGAAGACATTTTTCGGACGTTATATCATGAGTGTTTTGTTAAAAGAAGGTTTCGAACTGTTGGTAGACGATGCCAGTTACTCGCACCTATATCTCATTACTCGTGATGAGATGAATACTTTTGATGTAGAGTGGGTACGAAATGAAGACTTTTGCAGAGTTGCAGGAAGAGACAATGTGTGGTGTGGTGTATAATCGATGGCAAATCACCCAGGGTAAATCACGATTTTGATACCGGAAAACTTATTATGGTATCATCACCAAAGGATTTGAACATAAAAAATTTTTGCAAACCAGTTAATATAACAATCAAAGTATACATGCAAATTTGGTCAGAGGCCGAATTAGAAGAATGTCGATCATTAATCTATCCAGAATTTTCAAAGGACAATCTTCAGGAATCTTACCAATTATGTGGCGGTATTCCAAGAATGATTTTCAAATGCAAATTATCTGAGATTAATAAGATGATTACGGCTTCTGTTAATAATATTGGCACTGACATATTCAGATACATTGGCACACTTAGTGATGGTGATAATTATAGTCATAATTTAGTACATATTCATACTAATGAGGAGCCGGTAGATGAAATCATCAATGGGCACATCTTTGTCAATTCCCCCTATACTTCTTGTGAATTAAAGTTTGCTTCAGTAATTGTTGGTGATAAAGTTTTTGCAAGACTAAAAGAATTCTACAAAGAAAAAACGTACAAGTTTGTCTTTGCATCATCTTCTGTGTCATTATTAGGTTCTGTACGTGGACATATGTTTGAAATTATCGCACATAATGAACTAAGCGCTGGCAAAACATTTTTGACACGCTCACTAGAAGGACGTAAAAAATCCTGTGGGAAAGAACAAAAATTACGACTTCCTCAGCTTATTATAAAAAATTGTTACACAGTAGATGATATTGAAGATGGCAAATACTGTAAACCAGTAGCAAAGAATTTCGAAACTATTGATTCAATCTATATTGGAAAAGACTATGACTATACATTTCAGATGACGGTAGGAAGAACGCATGATATTAAACAACATGGATATCAATTACTACATGAAAAGCTAGGTGGTGAGTCAGCAGGTCATACCATCCGACACTATTTTGTTGTTCCAAAAGATACATTTAAAAATTTCCAAAAACAACCTTTCACAGTGAAGAAGGAAGAAAAAGGTCAACCAAAAAATGTAGTGAATGTCAAACAATGGATCACAAAAAGAATAGAGCAATATGTATTACTTTTAGATGTTGGTATCAATAGCACATATTAAGTAATAACAAAGTAATATATAATATGGTGAAGATGTAGTTACTGCATATTAATGTCGTATAAATTTTTAATGTTTCTGTAAAAGTTTATTGCAACATCAATGATGTGATGAAGTGTTTTTAGTAAAGAATTAAAAGATGCGTGATCTTAAGCTTATTTCTTTTAAACGATAATGAAGTAACAGAAGTAGGGATGGAGACGACTCTAACGGTTCGGTTCCGGTTTTGCGAGTCGAACCAAACCGAACCGATAGAATGGCTCCCCCTTTGCATAAGTATTATCGCATGGCTGACAGGTAAATTTTATATCACATCCATGCGTTTTCACAAGGCGGTATTTAGCAAAAGTGCTTAATATGATTTTTTTTCATTTTAAATATAATGTATAAATTGAAAAAAAATAATTGGATTTAGACACAATAAAGATATTTATTTATAGATTATTAATTCATGGCCCGGAAGATCATCCGAGAGGATTTGGCAAAAATCAATATTACAAGTTCATAATTGCAAAAAAATATAAATAATCTGGGTAAAATAAGAGATTAACCTAGATTTTTGAACATCAAGCTAAGATTTTAAAATACAAATTTGTGTTTCATAATCTGGCGACAAATCGCAATAGGAAGACATATTCACGACCTCTAAATTTTTTCGCAATGACTAATAGTGAGATAGACTATTTACGCAAGCATAGTCTAACAATAGTAAAAGATAAATGGCCTTAGATTATCATTACAATGATTACCTGTTACTCGCTCTTCTACCAAAAGAGTAAAACAGATATTTATATAAACTGTACTGTACGAAATAAATGATAAAATTTGAATATTACCTATTAAGCTGTATGTATGGAATTTACAGATTATTCGAACGCGACAAGAAAAATTAAAAATCTAATTCCTCTTTCGGTTCATTATTATTGCTGTAAATGATTAGCATTTCTTGAGTATAGCCTGCTCAGTTCGGTACGATCCTCCAAATTATGATCGTATCGTACCGTATTTCGTTCATTTTTTTTTTGTTATAAGGCCGTAAATCTTAATATACCACTTTCTTTAAATTATTTCTTTGTGAGCTGCGGGTTGTTTATTCTTTCGCTTTTTTTTAAATGTATTTAAAAAATGAAACTAATAATAAAAAAAATAAAATACGAGATTGGTATTTCAAAAAAATTATTAAGTTAATTAAAAGAAATAAAAGCTTTTACGTATTAGATTATTTATCACAAACCTGAAAAAATACCCTCAAAAAAATTATTATAATTTAAGTTAAAAAACAAAAACATCTTGAAATAAAACATAGTTGTCGTAAAAACAAAGAAGAATAAAAAATGAAAACAAATCAAAGTAATAAAACCGAAGAAAAATAGAAAAAAGTAACTAAAAAATAATAAATCATAATATATATACTAAAACAACTCTGAATGACATCATTTTTACTATAAGAGCAAATTATTAATAATAAAAAAAGAAATATACGATACAAACTGAATTTATTTGAATATTTTTTTTTTAAAAAAAATAATAAAAAACACTACTAAAAAAAAAAATATTATTTAATGATCCAATTGCCACGAAATCAACAAAAAACTTGTTCGGAACAAAATAAGCTGCAATTTTTTTACAAAACTTAGATTTAGTGATTAATTATTCCCACTATTCAGACAAACCCAAATGGACAATCTGATATAACAGATTGTAATCCAGATGAGTAGGATTAAATCTGGATTATTTATAATTAACTATAAATATGAATCCTAAAATACACTCAACTCAACTCACTCTTAATTTCGCAAATATGAACATTTCAGTATCTTTTATTGACAAACTAGATATCTATATAAAAAAATATTTCGTGAGAACATATTTTTGTTATAATTTGGATTATAATGATTAGTGATACGATCAGAACCGAAGTTTAAAAGACTCCATCCTAAAACTTCCTAAGATTGTGCGTAAAATATTAATAAAATAAAATTTCTCTTGATTTTGTAGGATAAATCTGATACAGTCAATACAACCTTTCTTCATTTTACGTGCATTCTCACTCGATCTCGCACTTGCACTCAATACCATCAACGATTTAACCGATTCACTATATGATATATAGTAAATCGCATAATTATTTCAAGTGGATGCCTCAATCTAATAAATACAATAATATGTCAACGCTCCAATCGAAGATGAATTATGCATTACAATGTACATATTACATTCTCCAAAATCCAATACGCATCACTGAGTTAAAAGTACAAGTAACGTTAGGAATTTCAAAAGTTTCAAAATATGACACATTGATATAAGAGCAAAGTGCTATATTAAAAAGCTACTTAAATAGTCATTAGAAGTTGAAATTGTTATTCGCGACCATATTTAGGTTGACTAATTCAGTTAATTGTTATTAAAAAGTTTCTTGGAAATGGATATTTATGTGATAAATTTTTCTCCAAATCAAGAAATTTGTTAGTGCATTTTATTGTGTAGTCGACCCCGCCGCAAGTCTTGATGTATGCAATACTTATAATTTAAAATTTTCAGCCTTTAACTAAATTCGAAATAAATTTTTATTGAGAATGATAAGTGTAAATTACTTAATTTGGTGCCCTATGATTTACGATATAGAACACTTTTAATTAAATTGCGGGAAACACTTTACTTTCTTCAGAAAATCGTCAGAAATAACCATTAATTTCCTCAAAGGATAGCTTAATGAAAATACAACAGTTACTCGTTACTTCATGCCTCGTAACTATTAATTGCATAATACAATGATCTCCAAAAAAAAAAATTTCTATGATGGAAAAAAAATATACTTAATTTTATAATATTTGAACACGTATAAAAAAATTATTTTTTTTATGCAATTAGATAAAAAATTATTACAGTTTATAATTTATGTCCAAATCCAATTAACATTTAACGCAGTATCAGAATTATAAGATCTTCATGTCTTGACAATATGTATTACCATTCCATTATATTCTGTTATCGTTATACAAGATAATTTGGGTTGAAAAAAAAAAAATTTATTTTATCTTATTTTTTTAAAAACTTTTTTTTTATAAATTATAAAAATGTCTGACAATAAAGGTAAAAGTGTAATAATAAAGCTAAAAAATATTCTCATCAAGAAAAAAAAAGGAGTAAAGAATATGAAGCTCACAATGTGATATTCAAACATTTTTTTTTCATAAATTAACATTAGAGTCATTTTCGGATGTTATGGAAGTATCCTCATTAGAAGAAATAGAAGGTAATTCCATGTATTATTAAC